CATCGACACTTCCTCTTCTACAAACTTCTTATATCCATTTTTCTAAACTGAGCTCACTTTGTTTTCTTTCTGATTCCTTATATAACCCACAGGATAATCTTTTATGTTGAAGATATTCTTGCTCCAGCTGGAGTTGGATTTTTGTGCTACCTTTGGGTTAGCAGAAGTTTAAATTTCTACTATAATTAAGTTTGATTAATGTATTTAAAGTTTAGTTTTTTGTCTTAAGAAATACTTTTCTATCCCCAATTCAGAAAGAGTCTCTATAGGGGATGAAGAGATGGATCTGAGCTAGGAGCACTGGAGGTTCCAGAGGACCTTGGGTTCAATTCCAGCACCTTAAAACCATCTGTAACTCCAGTCCCAGAGATCTGACTCCCCCTTCTGGCCTCAGTAGCCACCAGTCATGTGGTTGGTGCAGACATCTATGCAAGCAAAACACCCATACACATAAAAGAAACTAATTTAAAAATTTTAAAGTTGACTTTTGACCTTTAAACAGCTAATTTATCTGTACGTACACTTCATTTACTATGTGAGATAAAGTTACAGTCTTGCACCTTTTGGGGATTTGACTAATCATTTATCCCAGCACCAAATGGTGTTTTATTCCCAATGTTCTGAAGTGTCAGTTATTAAACATAGTTTCCAGATGTGAATTGGGCTTTTCTGCTGGCCTGCTCACTGTTTGCTTGTTTTATTCTTTCTCCTGTTTCTGTCCATGCTACACTGTCCTGGTCACAGCAGCTTTGCAGTGGTGAGACTTGGAATAAGTGCGGCCTGAACCAGGTAATAATCCAGGAATCCAGGAAACCGTGAAGTGAAACAGATGAGCCGCTGCTTCCCTGCCTTCCCGTGTGCCTGATCTTTACATTGTGTACCCCATATATTTTGAATTTTACCATTCATGGGACAGCATTTTTATTCTCCTACACACGTTCTTGAGCTTTGTTGGGGCAGGCGGTTCAGTTACCTGTGGTGGTTAGGAGCAGAGTGAATGATGCTCATGCCAGAGATGCTATTCCTCACTCCCAGGTCAAGCCCCTGCTGTACGTTCTGGTACGTGAATCCTGGGGCTTCTGTAGTCAAACTACACAACCCCATAAAGGGGAAGAACACGTCTTCCAACATTTTACCATTCCAGGTATGCTCAAGGGTGTTAAATTACAAAAATACAAATTAATTTAAGAATAACAAATGGCTAGGTTAAAGTGCATGTGTCCTACTATGTTGTCAATATAGCAACTTTGACACAGAGCACAGTCTAGCATAGCTACAATAAGACACAAGTTTTCTCAAGAAATGATTCTGGACATCCCTCTGCTTGACACCAAGTGTCTATGTTACCAAACTTTGAACCTGAGATGTGCCAGAAGTGATGCTATGAGACTTCTGGGGCTGAAACACAAAAGATGACACAACTTCCATCTGCCTCTGTTAGGTTTCTCACTCTTAGAACCTACCCACTATGCTGAGAGTGGGGAGGGGGGGACGACAGGTAGATGGTCCTACCCTGAGACCCAGACAAGAGATCACTGACTCTCAGCACTGATTTGCCAGACGTCCGAGCTGACAGCCTTCAGAGGATGGAGCCCCAGCTGTTGGGTCACTCCAAAGGGGCTGATGCTTCAGACATCATGAAATAGAAGTCAAGAATGCCCACAGTGCCCTTTCTGCATTTCTGGTCCATAGAATCCATAATATAATGTTGGCCATTGTTAAAAATGTTTCATTTTACAGCAGTAGGTAAGTGGAAGAGAAGCTTTGTTGCTTTATAAAATATCATAACATAATATAACCCGATAACAGCTAACATTTACTGGGTCTTGCGACAGGTAAGTAATTTATAGGACTCTTTCAGTTAATAATGACCTCGAAATGACCCCTAGGTAGATATTGTTCAATACAATTTTATGGAATGAACTGCAGTATAAGGGTTCAGATGCTGCTTCACGGAGTACAAGTATGTTTTATATTTTTATAATTAGTGCCAAATAACATGTGTTTGTGGAGATGCCATGAGGAAACCCACACTTTGTGTGCTAATGTAAAAAAGTAATTTAGGAAAAAGACAGAAATAATTAGTGCCACAATCTTTCCTCTTCAAGTGTCATAGCTTTTATCTATATACCAACGAAAAGGGGTCATTTGGTGCAGAATTGCTGGTCTTCTTTTGGAAGAATCTAAGTTCTCACCAAAATTTAAATGCTTATTTATTGCATTATGTTGTAAGGGAGGCTACAAGACAATTTAGTGGAGAAAACTTGGCAAGTATTTTGAGGAATCTTGGCAAATATTTTGCTTACAGAAACGGCATTATAATAAACCGACTTACATAAAGAATATTAATCCTCTCACTTTTGCATTTTGCTATAAGGAATTCAAAGAACTCTGCTAAGTGGTTATTATCACCTCTAAAGACCTGGCCATAGTTGTGGGTCCTTGTCAAAGTCTCAGACTGGGGTAATAAGGTGAACTTGGGCAGATCAAATAGGAGGATAATGAATGGCGTTCATCACTTCTAGTTTGTGATCTGGTATGTTTATCTACCTAACTGTAGATTTCTGACACATTAACCATGTATTCATTCAATCAGTCAGTTTTTTCTGAAGCAAGAATTCACTATGTGGTCCCAGCTTGCCTTGAACTCAGTCCTTCTACCTCAGCCTCCTGAGATTATAAGTATGCACCATTAGAGCATGCTCAGTTTCCAAGTTTCTATTGCAAATATCTTAAGCATTGTGTTATTATGTATTAGTTTTATTATCTCATTTTTCTATATGTTTTTTATAGATCTCCCTTTGTAGCCTTGGCTGCCTCAGAGCTTGATGTAGATACCAGGCTGGCTATAAACACACAAAGATCTGCCAGCCTCTGCCTCCTATACACTGGGATTAAAAGCATACACCACCCCACTGTACCTAGCTTTTCCTACCTCCTTGTGAAGCTCTCTCCCCTAGTTCAGCCATCAAGTTCCATGATTCAGAACGTGGTGTGAGAACAGAAAGCAGGGGAGCACTTCATTGTCTTCTGAGTTTCAATTGCTTAGGCCAATAGAAGAACACCTGGCTGACTATAGACCAGATCTCTGGGGAAGCAACTCCCAAAGGTAAGGGGAGCTCCAACCTATGCTCATGCAGGAAAAGGTCCTGACCTAGGCTAGGGAGGCTGAAGGAGTGGCAACAGGAATCCAGATGTTGATGTGTCCTGACCAAGGACCCCAGTTACAGTCAGTGACAGTGGGCTTCACAGGCCAGCATGATCTGGGTGGGGAGCTAGTGGCTGGAAGGAGAATGCCTCTTGGGGCCTTTGTGAGCCACTGACAGAGAACTGAAGGACAGCAAGTGTTTCGGTGAGTTCTGGTGTCCACAGGAAGCATGAGAGCCTTCTGATACTAACCATGTAAGTGCCGCACATCGGGTGTAGGGAAGAGGATATGGAACCACCTGGACATCCATCTTTTTTTTTATTTCAAAAGAATTGAGATTTGCAAACAAATTCTCTTATTCACTTAGATGTGGTTTTGGTTTTGTTTTGTTGCTGTTGTTGATGTTTTACATCTCTGTTATGGACAGTGAGTTTTACTGAGCTAGGTTTAAGGGTTACATTGTTGGAGAAAAAGATTAGATGAGGAGAATAAGGTAATAAAAATAGCAGGCTGAGCAAACGTGATGAAGGAGGTCGTTGGGGTGATAGGTTATAGTCACCGCCCCTCTAGCAAGGTGTTTAGAGACAACTTGAAGACACGGCAGGGCAAGCTGTATAAAAACTCGGCCCACTGTGCACCCCACTAAGCCCCTTACTGTGGCAATGAGTCGGGAGATACTGGCCGGCCAGACACAAACCAGAATTGATAGGACCTTGTGGGCCAGGATTACGGGTTTGCATTTGGATTTTATGCTGTGTGCCGTGAGCTATGGAAGGGTTTTAAGCAGGAGGAATTACAATCAGATCTACATTTTGAGACTGATTTCTGTGTGGGGCTGACTTGTTAGGGGAGGAAACAAACACAGAGATGGGCCCCAGTGACAGACAGGCTGCTGCTGCAGGAGGAGTCAGGACAGAGGCAAAGAGATTCTGAAGTAAACTGAACATGGAATGGGAGAAAACAGAAAAATGCAAGCTGTGTTCTTAGATACGGAATCAAGAGGACCAAGTCACTGACGTTTTGGAAGAGCTGAAGCTGCTTGTTGAGATGATTCTCAGGTGCCTGGTCCTAGTAACGAGGTACCCAGAAGGACCACTCTCCCAGGATAAGGCAAGCAGTGAGGAGGGAGGGTCCCGGCACTTTCTCAGAGCTGGTGAACATCTCAGAGATGTTCAGTTAGCTCCGCTGTGAGTTCACATGGTTTGATGTGGCCAAGAGTCACCTCCATGAAGGCTCAGAGATGAGTTTAGAGTTGGGGGCTGTGTGTCAGAGGAGAGGTCTGAGGAGATCATGAGACTCTTCACTAGGGGTGTCCTTCAAAGTCATGAAAAGAGCACGACCTCCTGACACAGATATAGCCTGGGACTCAAGAGAGGCCCCACCTTTGGAAATCTGGCAAGTGGAAAGACAAGGCCGACTGGTCTTTAAAGCAAGGCTTACGTTTGCATTTTTGTGTGTGTTTCGTCGCCATTTTATCCTATAGGAAACCAAGCCTAGGCCCTCCTGGCCCTCAGAGGTGACTCACTCTTGAAGGCTCATGTGCTGGTTTCTTCTGCAGCACAAAAAGACCACTGTGGTAGGCGCCACCACCTTCCTTACAAGGTTTGGTGAGAAGTGTCAAGATGGAATTAAGCTCAGGCACAAAGATTTACTTTCAAATGCCAGCCATTTTCCCAGTCTCTGTGAATAACGCAGACGTTGTGTTTGGGGCCGTTAGACACAGTAATAATGCAAACGGAATCAAAATCATCATTCATATTATTAACGAGCGTTTTTCAGTAATGTTTTGAGTAAGTGCCTAATAAAGTCTAAGAAATAAAGATACTCATGTTATTAAAGAGGAATTACTAGGTTTTCCATTCATAAGCTTCAATATCCTGCTTAATGGATTCCATACAGCCTAACAGAAACCCAGTGAATGAATTATGGTAAAGCAGTCCACGAACATTATATGGTTTCCTTTTTTGCTTTTGTTTCCTCTCCGTGAAATAACAATGAGGCATGTAGCTTGAATAAGGTCATTTCTTATAACAGAATGAAAGCATTAGGGTGACGCGGGCTGTATTTTAGCCTGCAGGCAAGAACCTCCCCGGCTTTACGGTCAGACAGTGCCCCCTTGTGGAACGGTGTGGTCGGTCGAGCGGAAACTGCATTGTGCGCGGGAATCACTGACGTCTGAAGGTGGCCAAGGCCGAAAGAGGCACGAAACAATGAATAAACCCTGTTGACCACACTGTGAAGAACGGCGTGATGGAGGGTGGCACGTCAGGAGCATAGGCAGAGGGGAAGGAGAACTTGGACCAGCCAAGCTGGCAGTCTCGGGTTCCAGAAAACTTGATCAGCTGATGATGACTTATACATGAGGCCCAGCAGAGCAGAGGGATGCTCCTGAGCTCAGCCTGCCTGGGTGCAGATCTCAGCTCTGATTAACCATGTGAATTCGAGGCACTCCTTTACTGCTCCAAGCTTCAGTCATCCTGCCTGCAAAAAAAAAAAAAAATCATGGTGTCTTATTAGATGTTCCTCGGTATAGATCAGAAGTATTGTGAGGAGCAAATGACGCATGGAAAGTTCTTTTAGTGTAATGTCTCCTAAGATGCCCGTTTCTGTTACCAGAGTGTGTGTGTGCTTAAAATCAGTGAAGAACGCTCGGCTGTTTTTTTAAAATGGCTTTCATATACAGGCATTCACCAACCACACAAGAATGCCTGTGAACACGGTGGGGCTGTCTTTCTGTAGGGCTGTTCCAGAGACCAGGTTGAGTCTGCCCAGGTCATGTGAATGTGAGCCCTCAAGTGTTTCCCAAGCATACATTTGTATACACTGAGAGACTGGTTTGCGGGTAGGTGGCCAATTCACTGTGAGTGACAAGTAAAGGCAGAAATAAAAAAAAAAAAAATCAGACAAGGGCCTCATTAAGGGTTCAGGGGCCGTACTCCAGGAGAACACGAAAGAGTGTTCTCAAGCAGCAAGCGAGTCCACTCCAGCAGTGACACCGTGCCAGTGGGCAAACAGAAGAGGAACGGGAAGATTGCGGGAAGTTTCTGAAATTTCTGAAAGATGCTTCTAAAACAGTGTTTATCTTTTAACTCCCTCAAATGTGCCGCCGGTTATTCAAGGGTTTAAGAATGTCAAAATGCCCTAAGAGTCTCGAGGTCGGGAGAGAGGCTCTTGTGGGAGGAAGTCAGGTGGCGTGTGCCTGTGGCCTGTGGGCCTCGTCCAGTCCTGCCCGCTCTTCGGACGGACGCCTGCGGATGGCATGCAGACAGACGACTGTAAAACATCTCCTTCCAAGCCGAACTTCAAGTGCTGCTTTCCTAAAATAGTCATCTATGGGGACTTTCCGCGCAAGGGACTAGTACCTGGAAGTCACCCACACAGGTGGCAGGGGAAGGTTCCTTAGATTTCCCACGTTAATAAAAGGCAGCTCTGTGAAACTATCTGTGAAAATCAGCCCATCCTAGCGAATGTCGTGCTGATTTTTCACCATTGGTCTTGGGCTCCCAAGACTCTGTGTGTCTGTTCTGGTCTCTGGCTTTCCTTGGCTGGCCCCTTGGCCTGAGCCAAGTATACTACAGTCCCTGTCTTCTCTCTGGTTTCTTGCAGCTCTCACCTAGCCAGCTCCCACCTCAAGGTCAGTGACATTTTCTGATTGTTTTCCCGTCTCTGGCTGGACAATCATTAGTTGACAGGGTCTCAATTACAGGCTCCTGAGCGTTCATCTGGGGCGTCGAGGCCTCCAGGGGTCTGCTCCTTCATCCTCATTGTGCCCATTCTGTCTGAGTCATAGCTCCGCCCGGTCTCAGACCACCTCTTTCTGCTCTCAGCAAACCGTATTGCACATTCTGCTTTAAGAGACCTAGGTATTTGTGTCTTCATAGAATGACTTTTGCTGTTCTTTTATACCTCTGGTTCTTCCTTTCTGCAAGGCTGGTCCTACCTTCTACTGAAATCCAAACACTTGGCACCCTTCGTCAGCGTCCTGCTCCATGAAGGAGCCCCTCTGTAAGCTTCCCGTATGTGATTTTCTTTTCTCTGTGTGATACTTGCTGTTATGACGTGAATGTCAAATGCCCCCCATAGGCTCATGTGTCTGAACGCTTCCTCCTCAGCTGGTGGTCCCATTTGGGAAGGCTGTGGAACCTTTAGGAGGTAAGAGCCTCACTGGACGAAGTAGGTCCGGGAGGCTTTACATCTCAGCCCACTTTCTGCTCCTGAGTGAGAATGCAGTGTGCCAGCCAGCTTTCTGTTCCTGCCACCATGTTACCCTTGCCTACTGTCCTGCCTCTCCCATTGTGACGAACTAACTGGGTCCCTCTGGAACTGTGAACAAAAACAAACCCTTGCCCCCTAAGCTGCTTTCTCAGTGTATTTATCCCAGCGGTGAGACAGTACCCAAAAAATCTGAGATCCAATTCCTACTCCTCCTGCAAATTCCGTGACATAGATGTCGACATGTGTCTCCACTGACCACTGCCCTCAGAGCATTCAATGGACCTGCCTCTCCCAAGCACTTCCTTGGGAACTCATGTTAGCCTTTCTTCAGGACTGACTTTTTTTAACTCTTCTGGAAAGTTTCACATGGTCTACTATTCTCTTTCTTCACACTCATTGCTGATGTTGTTTCTTTTTACTCTTTTGTCTTTTGGGGGCCCACCACTCAGCTCCCAAATAAATCACAGAGACTTATTATTACTTATAAATGCCTGGCCTTAGCTTGGCTTATTTCTAGCCAGCTTTTCTTAACTTAAATCTTATCCCATCTATCTTTCGCCTCTGGGCTTTTTCCTTTTCTTACTTCTGTAATCTTACTGTCGTTCTTACTCTGTGGCTGGCTATGTAACTGGGTGGCTGGGTGGCTGGCCCCTGGCATCCTCCTCTCCTTGTTCTTGCTCCTCCTTCCTCCCAGATTTCTCCTTCCATTAATTCTCTCTGCCTGCCAGCCCTGCCTATTCTTTCTCCTGCCTCGCTATTGGCCATTCAGCTCTTTATTAGACCATCAGGTGTTTTAGACAGGCAAAGTAACACAGCTTCACAGAGTTAAACAAATGCAACATAAAAAAATGCAACACATCTTTG